TTTGCGCCCCGCCCATATCGGACAACTCATCCTCGTACCGACCTGAATTTCTGCAAAAAAATGCACTTTTGTGCAGAACTATCCATCACTCCTGAACAAAGTGCGATGATATATCTGTCCAGCGCACAGCACCCAATTGTAATCAGCAGCTGCTTGGCCATCGGGTAATCTGCAGGCAATAGCCCCATCATCATCACCTTTGCGAACTTCGCAAAGAACACGTGATGTGTGTTTACACAACTGCACCTATTTTGTCCATAATAGGGTCGAGGGCGGACAGCTGTTCCCGGGCAAATGACGTTGTTGCCCTATCGACTCGACTTTTATTGATATTTTTAATTGTTCACTTTAACTTCGGTGAAGTCCCACGCGCTTTTATTCTCTCCTCACTTTTTTTAAAATAAAAAATAATTCTTCCAGGTAAGTGTTACAAGTGTACCTTCACTGTGTACATATCCAGCCTATCCTACTTCTCTGCCCCCTGAGCATATCATAGCTGTATGTAGTTCTCTCTCAGAAACTAATGACGAGAGAAAAGTGGGCGGAGGAAAGTGCACAACAAGCGGCAAGCTTGTTAGTGCAAGTGACAATTTTACTATTTAAAAAGCTTTTTGTCTGGCAGTTGAAACTTGAGGTCGGACAGAGTAGGATGCATCTCTTATAGGAACATTAGCTCATGCAATTAATCAAAAATATTTTTTGCTGTAATTTCAAAAAAAATGAGAAGGCAGGTTAGAGACGTAGAGTAATGTAGTATTACATAGATTCAATTTTGCCTTACAAACTATTGTTGTAGGTTTTTCTCACCTTTTCATCGTAATTTTTGAATAGCTACTTTTTTTAATACAACTCAATATATATTCCAAAAAGTGCTAATTCTCTGCTTTTGTATTTATATTCCCTCTCTTCATGAAGATGAGATGAGGTCTAGGACCATCTGACTCGGATTTGGTAGATTGTTCCTCTTGAGTTGAGCCAACGCAAGTGACGCAAGAGGAATTGGCCAACCCACGCCCATTTCTATAGTTGCCTACTTAAAAACGTTACCTGCACTTATCAAGGAATCGCGCTATGTTTCACCGCTCTACTCCTATCAGTAGACGTGATATCACGTAACCCTTTCGTATTGAACCCAACAACAACACGCTCAAACGGCTCTACTCTTTTGTCAATTTTCCCCACCCTCATTACACCATCTCTACCGTAATTCTGTGCACTTGTGGTATTAGCACTATCACTACAAGTAATCTAATGACATTACAGAACCAAGGAATTTTGCCACTGCACTACCATCACCGTTAGTCACCCAAAGCGCACCAAACACTCCAATAGCACATCGAATGGCAAGGCAAGAAGCAAATCCAGGTAGGGATAAACTAACAATTTGCGAAAGTGCCTTGATCCTATAACGATTCTATTTAGACTTAGAAGCTCAGCGGCACCAAAATTTGGTTGCACCTCAGGGAAAACCACTCAATAATAACTATTACAGAGCGGGTTTAGGTGAGTCATGACGGGAAAAAATTGACGTATTGCTTTAAACCTAAGATTTTGCTTGCAGGAACGCTTTATGAAGGAATTTTTGCATGCTTTCGACCAGTATGGGGATATTTTGGACGAAGTAATAATGATTTGTAAGTAAATCTTGCAACTACCCACTAATATCGGTTTACCTGATGTTTACCTTTTCTTAGGGTAAAATCAATAGAAGACGATTGGGAGATACCGTTTGAAGCGATTACGGGTTTAGAATGGCTTGGC